TCATGTTTATAGTACCTATTCAGAAGTAAATATTAAAGTTGATAAATAATAAGTTAGATATATAAATAAATCAAATTTAAAGTGCCCAAACATATACTACGTCAGAATTGTAAATTTTGACTTACGAAAATCTGACTGGAGATATTCTAAGCTTATGGAACTGGAGAAGCTAAAGGGTCTCCGGGTGTCCTGGTCTCCAGCACCCACTTCTGCCCTCTGCACCCCATTCTACTTCCTTTTTTTGGTCACTGTGATACTTCTTGTTATTCGTACCATGGCTGCTGCCCAGCAGTCCCCAGGGCCTCCTCCGTCTCTGTCGCCCCTCTCTTCCCGGCCAGCACTGGAGCCACTAGGCAGGCAGCAGGCCACGGCAAGGGTCCATGAGGCTCCAGCCTAGTTTTCAGCACGGAGTTTCAGCAGCGCTCTGCTCGCGCACACCTGGCCTTGGCCACCACAGTCCCATTTCCAGGAATTGATCCTACGGAGATTGTCTGGTGAAACATTCTAGCTTCAAGTGACTTCTCGACCTTGGTTGGTCAAGACTGTGGTTTTAAAAATGATGATCAGGGATGTTTAAGAAATGATGGTGGATGTAAAACTGCCTACCTCTCCTACCATAAGAAAGTCTTGTGATGTGTTTTTATGCCTTAGCTTAGACCGATGTAACGTGAAGGTGGCTGCAAACGCAGGGAGTCATCTCTGTGATTAGAAAGGAACACGCTCTCTTGGACCGAGCCACAGTGAGGCACTTGTTTACCTGAGGTGCAGCTTAATCGTAGCTTCTGCCCTGCAGCTGCTTATTTACCTGGACTCACGTGTTGACGCTGCGTAGTGCATTCTCAGCAGAGGGACAGCGCCTGGGGAGTGATGTGACGAGAGACAGGAGTGTTGAGTTCGCCTGAAACTCACAGAGACCACCTCCAGGAGGAATGAGAGTTGGCTCCATGGAAGAATTCTAATTCTGAAAACTGAAACTTTCCAATTTAAATCATCAGACTAATGAGGTATAGGGGAAGTGACAAATACTGGACTGTTGATAGGGACCGTCCAACCTGTTTCTTTACTTATAGATTGTGTAACAGTGTGTGGCGGTGTTTTGTTAAAACCAGCTTTTCCTCGCAGGTAGTAAAAACGCTGTCCCCTAATAGTTCTGAGGTCAGGCGTAGTTGGTACAAACAGGCATGACTGTCTCGCTGCTCTGAAATTCCCACTGAGCAGCTTTCGGGGCTCACTGCTCCGCTTAAATCGGGCTGGAGCTGGGAGACAACACAGCCTGCCAAGGCCAACTGGAGGTTGATCCTGTGTTTCCAGCATCTTCTGCTGCTTCAGTGGATACTTGAAACTGTCAGCTCACTTACCTGTCTCACCTGCAGAGCTGTGAGCACCCTGCGGCAGCACCATTCCAATAAATATTTGTTGAAAGACGAGGATTGGATTCTTTCATATATTTTTCAGCTGACTCTTGTAGTCAATGTCCCTGAAAGGTCTTTGTCTTCTTATTTTAAAAAACTGATTTCCTTAGTATCATGATTTAAATGAAACCTCTTCAGCTTCATTGACATCCCCTTTAAAGTTACCAAGGGTCCTTGGGGACGTGTTCCATTTCTCCCCCACACTGTGTTCGCCCCGACACAGACATGTCTCTGCTGACCGGATTCCATATAGTTCCAGTCTGCTGCTGGCAAGACCTCTAAGGCAAGAGGCACTTGCAGGAATACTCTCACCTGTGTTGGGAATTAACTTGCTTAGGCCTACAGCACTTTTAAGTAAACAAGAACTGAAATTGAATTAGTTCGTAGACAAATGTCACTTCCTCTTTGAGACACTACATGGTTAATCCACATCAATCAACACAGAAATGACCACTGCAAGCAAAACGCTGAGCTGAGTGCTATGGATAAAAACAGGCCAGGTGCGGTGGCTCACGCCTGTAATCCTAGCTCTCTGGGAGGCTGAGGCGGGCGGATCATTTGAGCTCAGGAGTTCGAAACCAGCCTGAGCAAGAGCGAGACCCCGTCTCTACTAAAAATAGAAAGAAATTAATCGGACAACTAAAAATATATAGAAAAAATTAGCCGGGCATGGTGGCACATGCCTGTAGTCCCAGCTACTCGGGAGGCTGAGGCAGTAGGATCACTTGAGCCCAGGAGTTTGAGGTTGCTGTGAGCTAGGCTGATGCCACGGCACTCACTCTAGCCTGGGCAACAAAGCGAGACTCTGTCTCAAAAAACAAAAAACAAAAAAAAAACAGATGTTCCCTGCCTTTAAGGACCATTCTAATAGCTGGATAACTAAAACATTTGGGAGAAAAGTTAACAGCACAAAGCATTAATTGAGTAGGTACGTAGTGAATTATAAAACCAGCAGCAGGACAGAGGAGACTGGGTGGATGGAGAGCTTTGTGGAGGACATGCCCCCTGGGTAGGGCTTGCAAGGAGAGAACCAGAGCTGAAGGCCAAGCCCAAGTTTAGGGAAAAGTGGAGTGGGGAATATCTAGAAAGAGGCTACGTTAACTTGAGCTCAACTGTATGTTCTGTCATTGAAAGACTTCCCTTGGGTGGGATGATACAAAGTAACTCACTGTAATCTTTTCAGTGCTGAGCTAGGGGCCCTGAAACAGGCCTGCCACACGTGGTTGAGCACTTAGCACCCTGCACTGCACAAAAGTGCCTGACCACGAAGAGTCGAGGGCAAGGAAAGGCTGAAATCCAGCCTGAGCTTTGCTGCCTATGCACCTTGGCTGTTTCTGCCCAGAGCAAGAGGCACCTATCTCTCTGCCAGTGGCACCTTTTTCTCAGTGGTTCTTAGCAGGAGTGGCTCTGTGTATACACAGAGGTGCTGTGCAGAGCTACGGCTCTGCCTGTAAGTCTTGAGCTGACCCTGCATAAAATTCATCAGATATTCGAATGAATGTTGAGATGGATTATCGAAGTTCCACACAGTCTTCCTACTTAAAGAGGGCTTCTCAAGTAGATTTCTGCCTGATGGTTTTAAAGAATAGAGATAATGTATGTGTCTTGAGGGGGGTAGAGAAAAAAGGCAAAAATATACTCTAAGGCCCCTTAACCATTCTAAAAATTCTTTTAGTTCATAAATGAAACTTGGGGCTCAGTTTAATAAGGTCCAATTGTTTTATTTTAAACCAAAGCAGTGTTTTCCTAATAATATTTCAAGGCTTTCCATGTACCTTTTGTCACTCATTTATGGACTGAGTCCTTTTAATGTCCTTAATTATTTTAAGTACTTTGGGAAGAACTGAAGAAACAGAAGGTTGGGCCTCTGTCCTCAGGTATTCATCTACTTAGGAAGAGAGAAAGGCATACTACAAAATGAGAGCATTGGCCATTTGTAGGGATTGTTATTTAGATACCCTTGTCAGATATACTTGGCCCTTTTTTTTTTTTTTTTTCTGAGACAGTCTCTGTCACCTGGGCTAGAGTGCCGTGGCGTCAGCCTAGCTCGCAGCAACCTCAAACTCCTGGGCTCAAGCAATCCTCCGGCTTCAGCCTCCCAGGTAGCTGGGACTACAGGCATGCGCCACCAGGCCCGGCTAATTTTTTCTATTTTTAGTAGAGACAGGGTCTCGCTCTTGCTCAGGCTGGTCTCTAACTCCTGAGCTCAAGCGATCCTCCCACCTCAGCCTCCCAGAGTGCTAGGATTACAGGCGTGAGCCACAGGTCTTGATTTTGATGCTAGGTTGGGACTTCTAGTGGTAGGCTGCAGTTTTCATAGGCTGTAAAAAGTAGTAAGCAAATAACCACAAAGCTTAGATTGAACAGTAACATTTCCTGCCTGAGCAATCATATGCAGGCAAATAATAGGTGATAAATCAGGGTTAAAAGGAGCTACTCTGTCCTGGCAATGCCACCTTAACATGTCTGTCTTTATGCTCGGCCCCATGGAGTTCTCACATTCTCAGAAGTAAGTTTTGTGAGTTCTTTGCTGCCCAGGCTGACAGTAAAGATCTGAGTCATATGTAACATTTTGTATCCTCCTTTCAACATTCCTTCCTCTCCCACTTCCCACCTTGGAAATGTTTTCCCCTTTCCCGAAAGGCCTGCAATTGCCAACTAAGTGAGTTCCCTTCTGCATCCGCCAAGCCAGTTGTCCTGCCTTTGTGAGTGGGTCAACGTGCAAAGTCTCTTGCTCACCTTCCCCTCTACTCCCCACCACTCTCTTTTACTAGGTCAGACCTACTTTTTCCAAAGCCTTGATCATGACCGTGTGCCAGCTCTGCCCCTAGACCCTGTGGTTAGGATAAAGATGAATAAGATTCCCACCCCACTGGGGAGGGGTCACACTGAAGAGTTAATAAGGGAGATAAAGGGATGGGTAGGTGGTTGGGAGGGATGCCTAGGGAGAGGGAAAGAGAACACAAAGGCCTTGCAGATGGACAGAACTGAGTTTGAATTCCAACTAGAGTAAAGGCTAGCTCTGTGAACTTGGGCACGATATTCAATGAGAATATCTGTCCAATGAGGATAATAATTCCTACCTAGCATAGGTGGTTGTAAAGATTATAGACTGTAAATTGCTTAGGGAAGTTCTTGGTTAAAACAGTAACCCTAAGTGGGACCCATGTAACTACAACAAAAGGTGACAAGTGACATAAGAGAAGTACAAACAAAGGCGTGGGGGTTCCCAGCAGGAAGGCACACACCTGCAGGAGGCCACTGGCGAGCATGAGCCTGTGTCCAGGGGCCCTCCCAGCCTGGCAGAGCAGAGCTGGGCAGCACGGGGCCTACGGCTCAGACTGGGAGCCAGCAAGTCCCCACACAGCTGACATTCACAAGCTAAGCAGGCGTGACCCGCAGCCCCTGCCCTTGAGGCACCGGGGGAGGGGTTGGAATGGAGATCGGGAAAGTGCCGAGCTGTCAAAGTTGACGAGCCTGTCAGTGGGGACTGAAGATCATTGTACCCTCCAGAAAGCAGGGTTACTTCGCTTTTCCTCCCACCTCTCTCTAGATGTCTAAGGTGAAGCGTTTCTCTTTCTTCTCCAGCTCAGAGGCTGAGAATGGTGTGGAGGAGAAAAAGAAACTCTGCAGGTCGCCAACAGCCCAGTCCCCTGCCCCGTCCATGGAGGCCGAGTCCCCAGACCAGAAGAGAATTGTTTCCCTACGGTGAGTCCTCAGTTGACTCTCTTCGTTCTCTTTTGCCTTTTGGGAAGGAGGGCTTGCGGGAGGAGCAGGTATGTCTAGTGTTATGGTCACTGTTAAGAGGGAGCATCTACTATAGGCTAGTGGTGCCCTGAGAAGGAATGGCACTTTTCCTAGACGCCCAGGCCACCGGTGTCTGGCTCCCTCCCTCATCTCTTCTTAGCAGTGTCTCTTCCTCCTTCCTGCCCCAGCCTTCTACAGATCACCTGCGCCTTTCTGAGAGCGCTGATTTTGCTAACGGATGAAGCCAGGGTGGCCTAGTCTCAGGCCTAGAGTCATAAAGCACGTGGGAAGGCTGGCAGGTCGGAGCGTCTGCTCAGTCTCTGGGTGTGCACGCTGCTGTCTCACTTTCCTGGGAGCCACCAGTTTCCTGTGTCGGCTGGGGGCAGGGGCTGGTTTGGTCATGGGGCTGGAGGGGAGAGGTGGCTCTAAGGTGTGTAGCTGTAGCCCCCGTTACTCTCAGGAGCACTAACTACCAAACAGAGACTTAAAGTTGTTTTTTGGCCTTTAAAAGGAAGTGGTTAAAGGAATGGTCAGTGATGGGTAAACGTGATTTTTTGTAGAAGAATTACTGTTGTCCTTCTCCATTCTTAGAACTGCTAGAACTGCTACCTTCGACTTCTTTTGGCCTCTGCTAAGGGATGAATAATTAACTCTTGCTTTTTGCTTCCTTCCTGGCTACCCAGCCCATGTCTTCTCTCCAAACCTATGCTTTGTTCAAGACCAAGCGTAAGTCTTAACTCTTCCCCCACACTTTCCTTTTCTGACTCTAATTCCCTATTATCTCTCCATCTTTTCTGCATGTCTGTTTTGTGGCATCTCACTGTCACTGTTTTTTCTATAGCTGTTCCCTGTCAGAGCATCCTGCCTCACTCACCAAATGATTCTCTTCTCAAAAGCACAAAGCATGTCGTTTCTCATATCTTTCCCCATTGTTGACCAGCTACAGCAGGCACCTTAAAAACACGGTTGATTTTACTCCAGCCTCCCCAGGCTTCAGGGAAAATAACATACTCATCAGCAGGGCATGTATGTTAACCTTCATGGGAGTAAAATCTATGCAGTCGCAAACCCCGTGCTTGGTTAATGCTCTGCTCTCACTGCCTGGAAATTCTTAACAATTTTGTGTCAGGGGCCGCACATGTTCATTTTGCCCTGGGCTTCTGGTCCTGCTTATGGTCACCTGTAGAAAGTGAAAGCAACATGGTTGAGAAGACTCAAAGAAATCGACACCGTGTAAATAGGCTCCCCACCCACAGAGTGCAGCCTGCCGCAAGCTCCCTGGATTGCATGTTTTTGAAATTATCAAGGGTGGAGCCACCCAGCTCCTCACATTTGCTTGCCGGCCATAGTGCCTCGAAAGATCGGATCTTTTTTTTTGGCAATTCCATGAACATTTATTAATTCGAGTCAGTAGAAGTGATAAATTCAAATTAGTGAGTAGTATAAATAAAAGGTAAGTTGACATTTGTAAAAATAATTTTATTTTCAAGTACAAATGTTTACTCATAGCTTCCTAAAAAAGTAATCCCTAGAATTCCCGGGGAATGTCTATCTGTGAATAGGTTCAATGTCCTATAGCTGAAGTGAAATCCATCTACCTTGAATTGCGGACAGATATTTTACCTGCGACTTGAGTATTGTGGAATCATAAACTGCTGTGGCCAGAAAGGGCTGAGGACATCATATGGTCCCTCTTTTTACAGCTAAAAAACTGGAACCTAACATCTCTGTAACTTCAGTCATTTTTGTCCCTCTGGGACACCCACATATGACCTGAATTACTTCAGATTCTTCTTAAATCCACTTTGAACCAAATGCTTTTTTAACTGAGCATCATTTTAAGGAATGATAGTGTGAAATCATGGATTCCATGTGCCATTTCCCCCTAAAGATAAAGCAACTACATAATTATAAAACTCGTTCATATATGTGTATATACACCTCTCAAAATCATACATACATTCCAGTTTGAAATGACCGTTTTTAACTATTGGTTTGAAGATATTTGCAAATTTACACATCTACCAAAAGGAACAGCCAGGGCTAGAATCACCTTAGAAAGAAACCCTGGAGCTCTGTCCTCTGCCCTTAACACGACAAAAGAAGGCTTGACTTCAAACCTGTTCTCTTTCTTGCTCTCTCTCTTTTTTTTTCCTGGTTTCACTCTGACTGATTTCCTGCTCTAGGCAGTTGTGTCTCTTCTCATCATGACCAATTCCTGTCTCCTGTTAGGCCCAGCATATTAAACCCGCCGCATCCCATTGTTCTCCTCTTCTCTTACCTCCTCTTAGACTTACTGTCTCTATACCTGCTCCTAACTCCTATGATGTGTGTTATTTGGGCAATAAATCATGTACTGCCTTTTTTAAAAAATGTCTGATGCATGTGTACACAGGCTCCTTGAGGATAAAACTGCCTTGTGGGCCCTGAGGCGTTTAACACAAAGCCCCACTTAATTAATCCTTGTTAAATATTAATGGAATTCTGAAACAAAAATATCCTTTGATTAAACTATGGCAGCAATTTTGTTTAGTAATTTGCCTCAAGTACTCCTCTTTATACTGATTAAGACACTTTTAAAATGACATAATTACTTTCACAACTCGATTGTCATTTCTCCCTTTGTAAGTTACCATGTCTACAGGTTGTGATTGCAGCCTGCTCGAATCACCCCAGTCTCCTAAAACACATGCTATGGAAGTGTCCTCAGAGTATCATGAATGATCATTGATATCTAGAAGAGAAAAGCAAATGTCAGATTTTCTTATGAGATGGTATAATAATCAAGATTTATTACAATAAATTAGTGGCATAAAAAATTTATGTTACAGACTCCCTGGATTTTTCTTTCCCCAGGTCAAAATCCAGTTTTGATGGTGCCTCTTTAGCAGGTGATAAGAGCGACTGTAAAACAGAAAGCAAAAATGACCCTAAGACTGAAAGGAAAAAGTCATCTTCCTCTAGCCAGGTAACTTGGGAGTGGAATTTGCATTGTCTCAGAGGGTGACAGAACTACTGAAGCCAGTGGAAGGAAGGAATCCGAGCACGCAGCTTCCTGCTGGGCAGTACCGATGTCGACTTAGCATCCAGAGAATTAGAGCGATGGACAGGTGGCAGTTCCTGCAGCCAATTTTTCGTCGACGTTATACTCCACAGCCGATCTTTCAACACATCCTGAGTGGTAGTGAGTCCATGCTGTGACCCTCAACTCTGACAAGTACGCCGAGCTCAGGGACCAACACAGAGTCGTGTGCTTGTCTAGTAATTAGCAAAACAAGGGGATCTGTGACATCCTCGTATTAAAATTGAAGAGTCTGAAAAGGCACCCGCCTGAATGGAAGGCCAGCTGCACAGAGGAGGAAGACCTGTGGACAGGGTCGTGATTCTCCTCCAGAAGTAATGTGGGTTCTGCTCTAAAATGCACCCAGATAGGAAACAAAGCCCAGTTCTGTGTCATCACAGAGTGTCATACATTTACTAGGGCCAGGAGTTTGGGGGATTTTTTTTTGACACTTCACCGTAAATACTTGAATAGCTTTCTCCTAAGATCTAAATCAAAAAATTTGGCACACTCAGGAAATTTAACTAAATATGAAATATACAAAAATATTACTATAAAATCTCTTTTGTATTTCCACCGTTGCCCCAGTAATGATGTCCTTTATAAAGATGTTTTTTTTCCTCTCCAGGATCCAATCAAGAGTCACATACTGCATTTATTCGCTATGTTGCTTTTAATTTAGATCACTCGGTCCCACCACCTTTGTTTGCCTTTTCTCACATTGACATTTTTGAAGAGTTTGTGGCCTAGGACATTTTAAATCAAGTTTACAACCAATGCTTTTTGTAGCCATCAAAAACAAAATCTCCGTGGAGCCCCCGTAGAATACCTACCTTTAATCAAGGAGTCTTTTTGGATGGAAAACGTCCTCCTGGAAAGCAGCAAGAGATGATTTACTTCATATAAGTGTTTGTCTCGAAAATAGCTGCCTTGCAGGGACCATCGATGTTCTCGATGACCTGGTCTGCAGCTCTTCTGTACAGCAATGACAGGGCCAGTTTTACCATTGAGGCCACTCCTGACTTGGATCAAAACCATCTGGGTCCTACTCGTGCTTCTCTCTCTGTTCTCCTCATAAGACTTTGTGTTCAGCAGCACCCTACGGGACAGAGCGATCCTGTGGAGGGAAGACCCAGCTTACCTTACGCTCTTAATGGCTGTGTGGTGTGACTGACGTCACTCAGTACCCCTGAGACACAGTGTCCCAGCCCAGGGAGTGGGGACGCCAGGTTCCCAGGGTTATTGTGAGGGGGATGTTTGTGAAAGCAGTTTACAAACTATGAACTGCAGGCTATACATTGTTGACACCATAGTTGTGAAATAAATGCCTTGAAAATGAAGTGATCTGCAGTGTTTCAGAGTCCTGGGCCTTCTCCTGCCCTGGAGAGTGAAGTCTTTGTGTGAAAGCCTGTCACTAAGGAAATGGCTTCACACCACGGTAGGGTTGGTGACCATATGGTGCCCTAGGCGGCAGGTCCTTCAGATGCAGTGTCCCATTTAAGCCTATGGCATCCCTTTGAAGCAGGTAATGTTTTAATTTTTAAAAAATTTAAATTAATTAAATTTAAATAATTAATATTAAGGGTCCAGGTGTGGTGGCTCACGCCTATAACCCTAGCAGTCTGGGAGGCAGAGACAGGAGGATTGCTTGAGGCCAGGAGTTTGAGACCAGCCTGAGCAAGAGAGAGACCCCCATCTCTACTAAAAATAGAAAGCATTAGCTGGACAACTAAAAATATATAGAAAAAATTAGCCGGGCGTGGTGGCGCATGCCTGTAGTCCTGGCTACTCAGGAGGCTGAGGCAAGAGGATCCCTTGAGCCCAGGAGTTTGAGGTTGCTGTGAGCTAGGGTGATGCTGCTATACTCTAGCCCAGGCGATAGAGCAAGACCCTGTCTCAAAAAAAAGAAAGATACCAATAAGGAAAGGAAAACTTCTTATTTAATTTAAATTGACGTTAAAATTTGTGATGTTTCCTGAGAAAGTGAATGCAGTAACGCCTGTATTTTGCTCTCATTGCAGTACAAAGCAAATATGCACTTTCACAAGTTGTTTCTTGATGTCCCAACTGAGGAACCGCTGAGGCAAAGTAAGTTCTTGCCTGTTTAATGTTTTCAGCTACATACTTGACAAGTTGATAGTTAGTTTTGAGGGAGAAAGAAGGCAAGTCCAGAGTCATTCACTTCTGCGAGTCATGACATAACAGTAACTCCAGCTTCAGTCAGCTTTCACCAAGCACCGTGAAAGATAAGAGAACAAAATGAGAAACAGAATCTCTCCACATGATAGGGAGTCACCCGAGATGATTCCAGAATGAGGATATCCTTGCCTGCTTTATCTATTGCTGAAATGCATGTGATTGGATTATTTCGAGATTTAGGATAACGAGCCTGGGACAAGAGAGGCCACTAGAAGGCAGCGAAAAGGAAACTCAAGTCCTTAGACATGGACAGATACCTGCTCATGCCACTCTGAAGGGTGTGAGGATCACACCTAAATATCTTGCCCAGGATGCTGGTTAAGTACCTACTCTGGGCCTGGGCAACATAGCAAGACTCCGTCCCTACAAAAAAAAATTAGCCAGTGTGGTGGTGCACAACTGCAGTCCCAGCTCCACAGGAGGCTGAGGCAGGAGGATCACTTGAGCCCAGGAGTTGGAGGCTACAGCGAGATATGATCATGCCAGTGTGCTCCAGCCTGGGCAACAGAGCAAGACATTGTTAAAAAAAAAAAAAGAAAAGAGAGAAAGAAAGAGAAAGAGAGGAAAGAAAGAACAAAGAAAAAAAATAAGCACCTACTCTGCTCTGCAGTGGTTCAAAGGGCCCAAAGTTCCATTCTAGCCTCTCGGTGTACAAGTGTTAAGGCAGGATGCTGGATTTCTGCCGTGCTCTCCCCCAACAAGACCATCCATTTCAAAAGGAGTCATTAGTGAGAATTCCCAAAAAGAGAGGGACAGGTGTGCTGATACTAGCCCGCGGATGACACACCAACCCAAACGGAGGAGACTTTTGAAACACCATTCTTGGTCTCTCGTGTCCAGCGGTAGATTTGCCTTTCCATTTTGATTTATACTAAAGTTTTAACACTTTGCATTAACAAACAAATTAGTCTCCACAGCCTTCTTCCCGTAAAACTGACTAAAAAAAGATGTGATAGATCTTTCGAGTATATTATCTCTGCCCATCCTGAGTCACCAAAATATAGACATGATTTGTGTTTTAAATGGAAAATTCTATATGATACTACACCTGTACATATTCTCCCAGGCTTCACCTGTGCTCTACAGAAAGAAATCCTATACCAAGGAAAGCTCTTTGTATCAGAAAACTGGATTTGTTTTCATTCCAAGGTCTTCGGAAAAGACACAAAGGTTGGTATAACTTTTTAAAAAGAAAGCTAACCCTGTACTTTATTATATGTTGTGAATATTAACGGGTTGAGATTTAGCTGTATTTATAAATATTCGAGTCACGGTTGTGCCTTCATACCAAAGCGCCCTTCGCTGCAGTCCAGACACTGCAGGCTCTGCGAGCCTCGCCACGGCAGCCGCTGGCCCGCGCTCTGAGCGCCGCCCCCCTCACTCCCTGCCGTACGCGCATGCGCGCCTCTCCCGCAGCCATACCCTGAATGCTTTCACCCACACGTCACCAGAGAACAAAGCTGTTTACGCAGAGGGTGTGCCATCGTTTGTCTCAAAGACGTTCATTGAAACCAAAGCAATTTTTTTTTAAGAAACATCAATTTTTGTACCACATTTATACCAGCTACCGTCAGAGACATCTAGGACAACAAGCCTATAAAAAAAGCTCCTTATTAGAGCTCACTCTGCCCTCAGCAGCACAAAATGAGCAGGAATTGGAGCAGTTGAGGCCTAGTCTCGGGGAGTCAGATACCCACAATCCCAAGTGTACCCTGATACTACATCTTTTCATTCTCGTTAGACACAGGTTTGGGGGAGCAGAGGCGCCTCACGCCCTGAGCCATGAGGAATAGCCTGAAGGAACTGGCAGTTTGCCCAAGGACCTTGGGGCTGTGGCATAGAAGGGAAAGATCATTCCATCCCACCCACTCACATTTTCTACCTTTGAGCTCTCGAGGTCCCATCACAGTTCATTCCAGCCTCCAGAATGAGGAGTCAGAGAAACACCTTGGGTTTGTGTGACCTCAGTGAGTTTTCGGTCATTCTGATTCATGATTATGAAGAAGCAGTTTCTATACTCATGAAGTAGCCCATTAAAATCTCTTTTTGTTTTGAGCAGTAGATGTAGGCTTTATTTAAATATTCTCTCCAAAGCCACTGGCAGTCACATAGTGACCACTTAACAAATATAATGGAAATTCTTTATTTCGTTGGTGTTGAGTCTACGGACTAGCATACTATTCTTCAGGTAAAACTTGTTATTTTTATGTTGTTTCTTTATTATGTAGAGTTATGTTTAGATAAACATATTTCATTGGCAGTATTATCTGAATCAGTATAATGTAAGCGATGGTAAGCAGTGTTCCGCCGTACTTCTAGATTTCTGGATCATAAGGACTTGTTCATGGAGTGGGAAAGGGGGTGAGTGGTACTGACCAGTGTGATAAAGATCATTCTCAGGAATTCAGAGAGAACCAACATCTCTGAGCAAAGCAGCAGGAGTTAGAGATTTTAGCAAACGGAGAATTAGTCTTTGTTAAGAGATGGGGAAATTCACAAAGGCAGTAAGTACAGTTTCAAGCTAATATGATTGTAGCGAGAACTGACAAAAAGAAGCTAGAAAGGAGTGACCCGGGTTTTCTAAAGACAAGAACACGCCGAAATTGCTTTGGCATGGGCTGTGTCTAACCTACGGAGGCAGGAGATTGGAAGTTAGCAAGGGTGGGAAATAAGAACCATGACAGTAACTTGTATGTGTCTTCCCTTCTAAGAATGATTGTCAGAGGAGATTTGGGCTTGAGAGAGGCTGCAGAATTTCCTCACTGCCAGCAGATCTTCGCCTGACATGATCCAATATACCGAAGGCACTCAAACAATTTTCTCTAAGAAGGGAAACCTTCTAAGCATCCTACCCAGGAAAAATATTAATAAAGTATAGCCTTAATTTAATCAGGGCCATCTAGTCAGCTGCTGTTGGTATTTTCAGATGTTAGTAAAATTAACATGTATGTATTGGTTCCATCTGGGCTCAAAATGAAAAGTGATTTAGGCTTTATTTCACAAATGTTGCCTCATTATAATTTTATACTCATGAAGCAATTGACTGAAAACTCCTTCTTAAGGGTGTTCCTTGCCTTACATTATGTAAAATCTAAATTTATAGCCCTGTCACTCTGTGTTTGTGTTGCTGCTCAAAAACAAAATTAGACTCATTTTGATATCACATCTAAGTAGATCTTAAATTCTTTTTTTCCAAAATTATCCCAACTTATAACTTCTGAATTACCTCCCATTCTTAAAATTTTTAGTGAATAGAGTTCTCTGGCAAAATATTGGTTTTTAGAAAATGTCTCTGTTAGCCCCTAGTTCTTCCATAGTCTTCCTGTTTGGAACGTGGCAGGGCAGTAAATAACACCATCTCATAAACCGAGATGTGAATGTAAATATTGAAAATGAAAAGCTCATTCTTCTTCCTTCAAGCTGACAGTGCTTACACAAGACCCTCCTCCTCCTCACTTACCTTATTGGGATCTTTCCGAAGATGTGAAGCATTTTTACAAAAGCAGATGTTCAAATGAATGTGTGTACCTACAGAGGGAATCAGCTCATTTTCTTTTTACCATGGCAGTGTGTGACTCTATTTTCAGAGATCAAAGAGATGTGATCTGTTTTCCTTTGAGACCAAACCTGATTAGAGGGATATAATATAGAAGTATCAGGAACTTCTATTGTTTGTGCCATCTGATACCTTCTTATAGCAAATTGTATTGAAAAGCACCCATGTTTGGATCAGATTGGTTCAAATTCCATCTTTGTAGCGTCTTATATGTATGACTTTAAGCAAGTTATGTACCTCTCTAAACAAATTTCCTTATTTCTTATAATATCAACTTCATAGGATCATCATAATTAAATTATATTCTCATCTGATAAGTAGGTATTAATAATGGTAACTTCTATACTGTCATTATCATTGTTGCTGTTCTTTATTGAACCAGTAGAGAACTTAGAGTTCTTTTATTTCACTCATCCTGATTTCATGAGACAAGTGAGAAAATGAATGAAATTTTTATTCAGCACTGGGCATTTTCCATGTATTATCTCTTTTAATTGACAGAAGATCCTTAGAAGTAGACAAGACTGTCTCCAATTTATAAATCAGGAAACTGAAGCTAGAGTAGTTTAAAGGTTGAGTAGGTCGTGTAGATACAGGTAGAACATCCCTTATCTGAAATGCTTGGGACCAGAAGTGTTTCTGATTTTGGAATATTTTCAAAATATTACATAACCAGCTGAGCATCCTAATCTAAAAATCCAAAATCCTAAATGCTCCAATGAACATTTCCTTTGAGCGTCATGTCGGCACGCAAAAAGTTTTGGATTTTGGAGTTTTTTTGGATTTTGGATTTTCAAATTAAGGATACTCAGCCTGTAGTCACAGAATTGAGCTGAGAATTCAGGTCCCAGACTTCCTGTCCGTTGATGGTTCCAATACAGCAGTGCTTTTTAACGACTTCCCCACCCACGTGCGCCTGAATACAGAGCGAGTGGGGCGCGTGGAGGTGAGCCAAGGCGGGTGGCCACAGGCTCAACACTCCTTTAAAGCCTCGTGCTTCTCTTTAAAATGAACGTAAACTTTGCGTTCTGTTCCCACCGAGACCTTCGGTAGAATTGATGATCCAGATTTATCCTCTGGCTTTGCAAAGACCGGTTTGAGGAGCTCCGGGACACACCTCTGTCACTCTCTAAGATTCCACATTCCTTTATTTTCAGGGAGGTTGGAAAGCTGCTGGTTTTGATTTCTATTTATCTTTTTTTTTTTTCTTTAACGTGAAGATGTGAAGTGTTGTTCTTTGAAGCGTGAACCAGCGTTAACTTGGTGCTTCTGTTTCAGATCTCCATTCCCGTTTTCTCGGTAACCCTAATAAAGAAAACCAAAACTGCTCTTCTGGTGCCAAATGCCCTGATTATAGCGACGGTCACAGACAGGGTGAGTGTGCAGTAGAGTGAGAGCCCTTTGCTCTGTCCTCCTGCTCTGGACTCTGTTCCCTCAGGGTCCTCTTGCCAAGGACCTCTTGCCCTGAACTATAAACATCATTATCTCCTCATAAATCAGGAGACATTCTATCAGACTAATGTTAGAAATCGTAGCCTACAGACGTTTGTGTACCATTGTTTCCCTTATGATACTTACTTGACCGAGGTCAAAAAAATAAAATTCTTTCCCAACTTCCTTTTCCCTAATATCTGTCAAGTCAGGCTAAACGGTATATTCAGTTTTTTAAATATTATTTTTTAAATACTATTTTAAAAAATAAAGGCTGGATACAGTGGCTCACACCTATAATCCTAGCATTTTGGAGGCCAAGGCGAGAGGATGATTTGAGGCCAGGAGTTTGAGACCAGCCCGAGCAACATAGCGAGACCCCATCTCTACAAAAACTAGAAAAACTAGCCAGGCGTGGTGGTGTGCGGCCTGTAGTCCCAGCTACTAGGGAGGCTGAGGCAGGAGGATCACTTGAGCCCAGGAGTTGGAGGCTGCAGTGAGCTATGGTGATGCCACTGCACTCTAGCCCACCCACAGAGTGAGACCCTGTCTCATAAAAAAAAAAAAACCAACATAACATTGCTGGCAGGGAGACAGGAGTCCCTGGGGTGGGTGGCCAGCCTCCCCATAACCTCAGTCAGGACCTGCCCAGATCCACTTCAGCTACGTTAGACATGCGCCTGCTCTGCGGTGGCAGCAGTAGGATCATTTCCTCCACCCCTTTGCTACCAGATTGCCTAACTACCTTTCTTCTATACAGAAATTCTGGAGCTGTCACTGACTACTGGGCTACCCCAGACACGTGCTACCAGAAATATTTGCATTACGAGTGGTATTTATTTCAGCTTAGCAAGACAGGAAGTGGAGTCATTTGGCTACTCATTTTTCACTTGAAATTATTTTTTAATCTTTAACCTATTATTTCTATAAAAGCATAAACACTATATTCTATTCTAACCATACTAGAAACCCTGAAGAAAGAAGAAAAGATAAAAGAAGCTATTCTGATAAGTTAGAAAATAGGTTAATATCTATTTGGGGATTTTTTTTAGTACTAATAGCCAGCAGGCATCAAGTGCTTACCCCTTGCCAGGTATGCGCTAAGTGCTTTTCCTGCATGTTCTCATTTACTCTGCGCCACCGCCCTGGAAGGGATGAGGATTGTTAAGGAAACTAAGGGTAAGAGGGGTTCCACAGTTTTCCCATGTCACCCACGTGATGCCAGAGCCCACACGTCAATTACTTTGGAATGTAGTACTTGCTTGGAAATTATTCAAGTTCTCTCATAATCGCAAACTCATGGCGAGGAGGTCTGAAAAGATTCTCTGGCTTAAATAGATGGAGAAAGAGTAGGTTTTTCCTTATGTCTTTTTGTCTCCCAATTATGTGTCTAGCTCTGATTTTACTCCTTTCCCATAGCTCACTTGCATGCATCCACTAGAAAATCTCCGTATTTGGACCAGGAAGAAACTGGAAATGGCATGAAAAAGAACTAGCCTATTAGAGCCGCTGGGAAACTCTCAGTGGAAATCTAGGTCAGAGCAGAGAAAGCAGACCCTTGGGAATTGTTAAATACCTTTAAAACAAAAACAAAAACAGAGGGGAAGAGACTTTAAAGAGGATCCAGCAAATGTCACTAGCCTTTTGTTAAAGTCCAGGCCTTTCCCTCTCTGTGCTTGTTTGGAGCACCAATGTCAGGGTTTCGGAGGCTTCATTTTTGCCTTACGTCCCTTTATTACTCTGAAATTGGGTGTGGGGATTTTACTGCTATTTGGGGGGAATATATTTGCTTTATTCCAGAAATGGAATAGAAATTGAATGTTTACGCCGGGCACAGTGGCTCATGCTTATAATCCTAGCACTTTGGGAGGCCGAGGTGGGAGGATCACTTGAGGCCAAGAGTTCAAGACCAGCCTGGGTGGGACCCTGTGTCTACAAAAAAAAATAAAAATTAGTCGGATGTGTTGATGCACCTGTAGTCCTGGCTACGCAGGAGGCTCAGGAGGCTGAGACAGGAGGATCACTTGAGGCCAGGAGGTTGCAATGAGCTATGATAATGCCACTGCACTCCAGCCCCCAGCAAAAGAGCAAGACCCTATCTCAAAAAAAAAAAAAAGAAAAGAAATTGAATGTTTGGATGAGAGGAATGAGAATATAGGCCAGGAAATGGTCTGCATCATTTGAAAATAAAAAACTCTATACAGATATCTTTTTAAATTCCGAACTCTTGCCTCCTGTCAGGCAGTATCTGTTAATAATTATTCCGTTTTGTTTTTCAGTACATATTTGTCTCCTTACTCTCCAGAGATTCGACTTACAAACTACTCAGATCTGTGTGTGGACACTTGGAGGTGAGTGTGACATCCCTGCGCCTCAGTCACTGTCTCCCTTCTGTATTTCTCGTGGTTTCTTAGTTCATCTGGTTTTTCATTTCGTTCCAATAATTTCAGAGCGCCAGTGTTGGTAACAGCCCCAATCCATCGTCGGCTGAAAATAGTTTCCGGGCAGACCGCCCTTCATCTTTGCCTCTGGTAAGTTGCCTACGTAACTGTCTAAATGCAAAAGAAAGGGAGTAAGTCCATCAGTTACACTTGTGCTTATACCGTGACCAGGGTTGGGAAGAACTTAGGACCAGGGTGTTTGAGGCACAGGTGAAGAAAGAGGGCGTATCTGTCCTGAAGAGGAGGGAACCGTAAGAGGCCATAAACTTTTGTCAAATAATTGAAGAGTTGTCCTGCAAAAGAAAAGCAGCGTAATAGTAGGCTGTCTTGGTGAGTTACTGGTCACTGAAGACATTTATCATGTCTTGCTCTGTTTGATGGTCAATATTGTTTTAGAGGGATTCACAAATCTATTTGAGGTAGAGCTGAGTAATCCTACAAATTGACAAATGTCTTTTATGTTCAGGACACCGTGCTAGTGTATACTGTAGTATACCAGGAAAAAACAAAACTAATTCTTGCCTTCAGAGACGTTAGAACTGAGAACAGAAGATGAGGCATACTCAGAAATAACCATTAAAAAAAAAAAAAGCTATTATATAACACCCAAGTGACAGGTAGAAATTGTTTGATTCCCTTAGATTTTTGTTGACCATAGAGTAAATCTCCAGTGGGAAGTAGTAAATCTCCTGTTTGTACAAAATTTGCACCTATAATGGTATAATGTTTTCCGAAGAGTTCTAATTATATCATTCAAATGATCATTCCCAAATTGGTTATTGTTAAATATTCACCTTTAGTGAAGCAGTGTGAGCCCATAGTTTCAACATGTACAAATCTTATTTTTTAAGCTATTAAAATGTAGTGGGGGCCAGGCGCGGTGGCTGACACCTGTAATCCTAGCACTCTGGGAGGCCGAGGCGGGCAGATTGTTTGAGCTCAGGAGTTCAAAACCAGCCTGAGCAAGAGCGAGACCCCGCCTCTACTAAAAAATTAGAAAGAAATTAATCGGCCAACTAAAAATATATAGAAAAAATTAGCCAGGCATGGTGGCTCATTCCTGTAATCCCAGCTACTCGGGAGGCTGAGGCAGGAGGATCGCTTGAGCCCAGGAGGTTGAGGTTGCTGTGAGCTAGGCTGACGCCACAGCACTCACTCTAGCCCGGGCAAAAGAGTGAGACTCTGTCTCAAAAAAAAAAAAAAAATGTAGTGGGATTTAAAACATGTTCACAAACACTTTTGTACAAGAATGTTCATAGCAGCATTACTCATAATAGCCAAAAAGTGGGAAAAACCCATGTCCATCAACTGACTCATAAATGGATTTCAAAATGTGGTATACCCACATAATAAAATATTATATTTGGCCATAAAAAGAAAATGAAGTAGCAAAAAACGCTACAACATAGATGGACCTTGAAAACATTATGCTAAGTACAAGAAGCCACAGTCACAAAGCCACCTGTTACATGATTCCCTTTATATGAAATGTCCTGAACAGGCAAAGCTTCAGGGATAGAAAGTAAATCAGCAACTGCCAGGGAATGGAGTGTGGGAGAAACTGGGAGTGACTGCTAATGGGCACAGGGTTTCTTTTTGAAATGTTCTGGAATGAGATAGTGCTGCTTACATATGTGACTATTCTAAAACCACTGAATTATACACTTTAAAATGGTAAATTTTATGTTATATGAATTTTATCTCAATTTTTTAAAAAAATCTACCTTAAAAAAAGGAGTGGGAAGCAGTACGAAATACAATTAAACATGTATAATTTGGAATCCAACAAACCTGTTCAAATCTGGGCTCCACCCAGCTGTGTGTCATCAGGCAAGCTCTTTACCTGCCCTGACTCAGTTTCTTCATCCGTTAATATGCCAACCTCGCGATGAGCCTATGAAGATTAAACGCAATCATATATATAAGGAGCTTTGCCTACTGCCTGGAACATAATAGGCATTCAATACATTATTAAATTGAGAGATTTAAATTTTTCAATTTTCCTTCCCTTATAAATTCTTGCATGAAATTAAAATGAGTGTTGAGATGAACTAAAGACAGCTAGTTCAAGGTGAAAGGTTGGTACGTTGCTTACGGGGTGAGTCTCTTCTTCATTTGGAAGCTAACAAAATTATTAAAAGCTTTGGCCAGCTGTACCTTCACCAGGACATTTTAATGACACCACTTGTCCCTTCCGTTCTTAAGCACTTTGGGGGAGCCATTGGAATGCAAAGTAAAACATCTCTGCATTTTCCCTTTTAAATGTAGCATCCCTGACCCTATTCTGATTTAGTTGAGGGAGGGAAAAAAACAAACTTTCTTTCCATGGTCCAATTTGCTAAAGCTGTTTTCTCTTTTCTGTTTCCAATACTTTAAAAAAAAAACAAAAACTATAATTTAATAATATCTATGTCTCCGTATACATATTTAAATTGGATTTGGAGCTTTCTACCCACTTTTTCTCCTGTGTGCGTCTCTAGCAGTTTTTTCTCATTACAGAGTGCTAATGAGGCCTCTGCAGCTTCACACTGGAAGTTTGTCAATCATCAGCATTCTGGGGTTTTTTCTAGACATTCATGTGTCATGCAAGTTGGCCACTGTTTGTTGACAGAATTCTAACTACCTAGAAAAGTCTCAGTTACAGTAACCAGATAGTGGGTGATCTGTTGGGAACATCCCGGTAGTATGGGTTAATCCTTCCTTCTCCTCTGTGTTTCATAGGTCAGGCCTAGGTTACAGGGCTGGGGGTGCAGAGTCCTGCCTGTTTTTAATAAGGGAAAATCGGCCTCTCCTTATTTCGTTATTTCCCTTCAGGATTTCAATGATGAATTCTCGGATCTGGATGGAGTGGTTCAACAAGGGAGGCAAGACATGGAAGGATACAGCAGTTCGGGTTCTCAAACCCCCGAATCCGAGAACTCTCGAGGTTGGGAAATTGTTGTATTTTGGGGTTGAGGGGGCGGGTTTTTTTTTTTTAATTATTAAACTTTTATTTGTTTCTCACTGCTAGACAATATGGGAATTGTTGTATTTTGAATAAAATTTAATTCTCCACAAAACATCCTCACCTTATTTCCTTAAAAACAAAAACAAACAAACGAAACTCAATCTGGTCTTCCTAGTTGATAGTTGGGAAGGGAGTCTGGAGAAAGGGCAGCTTGGAAGTTACAGGGCAAGGAATTGCCTGTGTGGTAAAAACTCATGTCCCTGTATACACATTTAACAGAGGTCTCTTAAATGGACATACTGTTGGGCGGTTGAGAGAGATAAACATATAATATTTTCTTGCCTCTTATTTCAGGAATGTTATTTAACTGTTACAGCCGAATCGTCCTTGCGAGTCGGTTAGGAGATTAAAGACTGTCCTTACATCGTTTTACTACTTATTTACTTAAGCATTCAGTTTCAATCCCCAACCACCGCAACCAACTTGTGAGAAGGCCCGTTTGTATTCTTGCCCATTATACATATTAAGAGATTGATTTGCTTTGTGGTTGGTCCTATGCTTTTAAATACATTGGAGAGAAAACTCACCCAGCTCGGTTTTGGCTTGGTAGATTTCCATGTGACAGAATCCCAGACAGTTCTGAACGTCTCCAAGGGAGAAGCGAAACCAAGTCGGGCAGATGGCCATGTGAACAGAGTGCCTGAAGGAAAAGCCAAGAGTCAGCCTGCACATGGTAAGGAAGGGACTTTTTTGAGAGGGCGTTAGAGATTTCTGTTTGCAACTTTTAAAGGGTCCCCGTGTTTCACTTTATAACTGCCTTTCATATTCCCTTCCCTCCCTTCCTGTTATAGGCCTTTGCATATTAACTAACTTATTCATTCAACAGACAGTACCCAGTTCTGCGCTTTCCTGTGGGGGATACCAAGGTGAATGGCCTTCGTGAAGGCCACTTCATTATTCTGAATATGTGGGATTAGGGTTCAAAAATTGCTAGTAAAACTTAAATTCTCGATTTCTTATTTACTAGTTATTCTAATAACTAGTTACCAGTTATGCTGGTAAGAGAGCAAGGATAGTGTTACCTTGTTCACCATCGACTCCAACACAATGCTTGACACCGGAAGGCTCTCAATAAATATGTGTTAAACGAAACCTGTTGGAGGGAATTGTAACTATTGGTTAAAATGACAAGTAGAAGGCTTCAGTTAATATTTTCTCTGGTTTCTTTTACCTGGGAATAGTTACCTCTCTCCAGTGCCTCTTCCCTCATAGGGCTGTTGCTGGATGAAGGAAGTGTGTTATGGTTTTAAACACTTGCTTTTTGTTTCCCACCCACCAGGTCAGTCAGAAACCATCGGACTCTTACATAAAGTCAGGCCTCAGAAATGGCCAACTCTCCACCACATTCTTATATTCTATGCAGTTGTGTAAGTAAATGAATTTATTAGGAGTGACTTCAGAAAATGATTCAATTTTCTAGAGGAATAATCACTTCACATTGCCAAGAGCCATTGTAAATCTCATTTTTCTGTAATGTGACCCAAATCTTTTGACAATTTCTGTCTCCTATTTCAATACTTTTTTTCTTAGGCTTAGGTCGTATTTTCATAATGATTGTACCAAATCCAGCAGAGGACTAAGTTCTGAGTGGAGACTATTGGGAAATTGTTCTGTGAATTATGAAGCGTCATTAACCTTGTCATTTATTTGCCTTTTTATTTTTTTAATTGACATAATCGTATTAGACATATTTATGAGGTACATAGTGATATTTTGATACATATAATGTATAGTGATCAGATCAGGGTAATTAGCATATCCATCGCCTTTATCATTTCTCTGTTAACTACAGTCATTCTACAGTGGTGGAGAACTCTAGAACTTATTTCTCCTATCTAGCTGTAATTTTGTTTTTCCGTCTGTCCCGTGTCCTCCGGACAGAGGCCAAAACAACTTTAAAATGTCATCCTCATCCCCTTTACTGAAAACATGGCATTGACTTTTTTAGCTTCCCCATCTTCTTCTAGTCGGGAGCCAGTTGTTCATCTGAAAATAGCCTGACCCAGTTCTAGGCTGTTTCTCACAACCAAGTAGGATATGCCCAGTCTGGTTTCCAGATAAAGCAGGGAATTTTTGAGTCACCAGAGAATGAGGCTGGGCACTCCCAGCCCAGGCTCTCCTAGCAGAGGGTGACAGTATCTCGAGGAAGGAGCCGCTCTGGCTAGTACTCCAACTTGGGCCTAGCCTTGACCAGTCCTATAGAATGACCATTATTTGCAAATTGAGAGACTTGGGGTAGAAGGTTTTAAGTCTCCTTCTAGCTGTGAGGTTTTATGACAAGCATCAGCCTGATTAAAAAGGACATTTTTAGAGTCTTTTTAGCCAAGTTATTTTGGAAAATGCCTTGCCTTGAGTGTGCCAGGTCGGCTCTGAGTTCATTGTTTTATGAACATCAGGTCCTGGCCTTTATCCTACTGAAAACTTCTCTTATCTCTTTCCAGTGTCTGTGCACTAATCATCTCAACCTTCTACATGAGATATAGAATTAATACTCTGGAGGAGCGGCTGGGGTCACTAACCTCCACCGTGGACACCCATAATACTGAGTAAGACAGTTCCCTCCAGTGCTGTCACCTGCTTGCTATTCAGATTAGTGGAATAATTGACTGAGCTTAACATGCTTCTTAGCAAACATTAATTGGAGATACATTGTGTATGAGACATTTCGTTAAGTATGTATGTGGAAAGAAAAGAAGAAGGTCCTAGAAATGAATGACCTAACTCTGCACTATTTGAGTTGCTGTAGTATCACCAGTAAACAGCAAGAAACAAGCCTAATTTTACATTATCTTGCTGTTATTCTAAGATGTGGTTGCGACCTTTCCCCATTTATTAAACTATACAAGTTTATCTTAGTTAAATGGCAGTGAGTCAAGACATTCATACAAAAGAAGCAATTCAAGTAACTCAGCACCTTTCATCATGTATAAGTCTTTATATTTAACTCAGTTATTTACCAAACTCTTGACCACTATACAGATCCATGTGAGTAGTAATTAGTTGAATATGTCTGTGAAGATTTTTTCAGGGATCATTTTTAACATGCTCGACCTAATTAAATCTTTTCAGACATAGAGTTCTTTTCTTTAAACTCATTTACATGAAGATTTTGACACATTGCCTAAAAAGTGAAATAAATTATTCCATGTTAGTAAGTGTATGTTTAGCCCAAGTTTTAAAAGTAGAGAGATACTCCCTTACAGACTATCTACCATGTGCTAGAGCCTCTATTAGAATGGATACGTACATATACAAATACAAACAATTTTCCCTCATTATGTTTTCACCATAACCTTATAAGAGAGCTGTTGTTCCCGGTTTACAGATGAGAAAACTGAGAATCAGAGAAATAATTAGCTAAAGGTCTTCCAGTTTGTAATAGAATCAGGATTCAGACTCAGGTCTATATAACTACAAAGCTCATGGGCTTCCCAGTCTAGCAGTGACTCTCAAACTTTAATGTACATCAGAATCATCTAGAGGGCTTGTTAAAACAGATTTCAGGGCCCATCCCCAGAGTTTCTGATGCAGTAGGTCTGGGATGGGACCGAGAATTTGCAATTTCTAGCAAGTTCCCAGGTGAGGCTGATGGTGCTGGCCTGGGTTCTATACTCTGAGAACTACTGTTCTGTACCATTCTGGGACCTTTTTTCACTCTCTAAGAATCAGCTAAATCCTTGTTCTGTGGCTTATATGTGTGCTGGCGTACCGGTTATTTTTGACCCAGAAATATACATCCGAACCAATAAAATACAGAAGACTAATAAACGGTTTGGAATAGATTCATACCTTGCCTTTACTGTCTCTCATCTTTTACTTACCGTGGTGATAATGAGGGGAAAATTCCTCTAACAGAACACAGTTGGAATATTCATTCTTTTTTTTTTTTGAGACAGAGTCTCACTGTGTTGCCTGGGCTAGAGTGCCGTGGGGTCATCCTAGCTCACAGCAACCTCAAACTCCTGGGCTCAAGCAATCCTACTGCCTCAGCCTCCCAAGTAGCTGGGACTACAGGCATGCACCACCATGCCCGACTAATTTTTTCTATATATTTTTAGTTGTCCAATTAATTTCTTTCTATTTTTAGTAGAGATGGGGTCTCGCTCTTGCTCAGGCTAGTTTCGAACTCCTGAGCTCAAACAATCCGCCCTCCTTGGCCTCCCAGAGAGCTAGGATTACAGGCGTGAGCCACCGCGCCCGGCCTGGAAGGAATATTCATTCTATTACTAAAACAATCAACCCAGGAAGAAGTACAATCTGAAAAATAACCATTTAAAGGAAAAACCACAAAGATCACATTTGACATGAGCTCGGAAACAACCATAACGGGAACATCTGTTAATAAACACTGTTCCAGGACCTGAGCTTCCTCCGTATCTTACTTCATTCATTCTGAGTAATCCTTCTGTGCCATCCAGGTGGCTAAAGCCACACATGTAATCTGATTCTTCAGTTGCTAAAGAGCCATCCTTTTGAATCTATACATATTATCAGCTTTGTTAACACACGAATAGCCTGTAGATCCTGGACTCCTCAATGGGACTAAAGCAGATTCCAGATTCCTAGCCCAGTGGTGAGAACATAGCTGCTGCTCAGAATCTCATGTTGATAAGTCAGTTCTCCAGGCCTCGGGTCACTTATCTAGAAAATCAAGGATTTAGATTCCGTTTCTGTGAGCTAAAGATAAAGAACACACTATTTGTTTTAGTATTAGAAAATAGAAAGATGTCTGATTGCTTTCTTAAAATCTAGATAATCATCAATAATTTACCAAGTGCCTATATCTCAAAAGTGGACCCTATATAAAATAAGTTGGAGCAGTTACTGCCATTCGAAAACTTAATAGCTAAAATTAAATCACAACCAAGAAGTATAGAGATGAGACAGACCATGGTTCTTAATCTTAACATGAAAATCTGATAAACAGCTTTAGGTCATCTCTCCAGGAAAACGAACATACATCTCCAAATTTTCTGCAGTGTTAGCTGGTGCGGAACTCCAAAGGACCCCAGAGTAAGAGCCCGTGCCATAAATAGTCAAATGGTAAATATTGAATACATCTGTTAGACTATAAGGGCAATTATGTTCGTATAGCAAGTCTCACAGAAGGAACTGCAAAAATCTCACATTTCAATGGAAATTTTATTAACTAGATAAAGCTTTCCTAAACTTTTTGAAAGTTCGAATATAAATGGCTCCTTCTCCCATTAAAAAATAATATCTATATGACTGAAAGAGCAATCATTCTTACAAATGTGTGCCGTGGCGGGGATAGTGAGGCTGTCAGGGGTTAATAAAAGGGTTCTGAAAATCCACGTACTTGAGAATAATTCTCTGATTTTTGCTTGGAAGCCGAAGCATACCACATCCACTCAAACAAAAATAGCTTAAGAGATTTCCAGCTGAGCTTTTAAGAATTAGTTCCCTAAACATCTACCCTGGAGTTGTGGATTACTGCAGGGCCTTTCTGATGTTAGCAAGTGAAACGCTCACTCTCTTTTATTATAAACTAGTTTTCCGCTTAAATAAATTTAAAATGTGTTCATCCTACTTCTTTCTTTGCCATCCCTGCCCATAATAATTTTTCTCTTTGTTCTTACAGGCAGACAGCACCATCTGGCCTGGGCTCACAAGCACAATTAAATGCGGAAGTCCTCTGCCAAGAGCTCGCAGCTAACATAGTGAGATTAGAAAAGGTGATCTATTTCTGTCCTGTGTATGGGGGCAGTAACAGTAGTGCCTGTGGATTGCCATGGGTCAGGTCAAGGCTCACACGCTCAGACACCTTTAGTGTTGCACCAGACAACCTAAATGACCAAACCTGGCCAGGGGGGTTGCATAGTAAATGTGAAAGAATATTTTTTATTTCCACAAAGAAACAGGTTTTAATCTCATTTTCCTGGGAACGCATGGTCTTGTTGGTCTGGTTTTTGTTGTTCCTCCTTGGGTAGACATGGTATTTCTTGGTACCATAGGGCCCGATGGTAAGTGACTGCTGACACAGAGGTCAATGAAGGGACACGGTATGGAGTGAACTGGAGACCAGTGGCCCATCCAAAGAGTACAGCCCCTGTTCCACCCGGACTGGTTGTTGCCATACATAAAATGTTGCATTCAATCCCTCAGAACCATGGAAGATAGGTGCCATTGTTCCTGTCTGACAGGGGAAGAACCAAAGTTTTGAGTTAGCTTGCCCAAGATGACGTCAACTCCTAGAAAGTCAACAGACCTGGCATCTGAACCAGGTCTGCCTGACTGCAAAGTCGTGCTTAGCAGCCCTCTGCTTGACTGCTTCTCAGAATCCAGCTGTAGGCCTTGCTGACGAGGCCACCGACGGACCTTCGCCTCTGAAAGTATCTTCCCACGGGGCGAGTCGAGGGCAAATCTGCCCTCAGCTTGTGGCATTCTTAGAACTCAGGAGGGTGAGCGAGAAGAAAGGCGCACCAGAAATTTCCCAGAAGTTAAACCTGATTAACATGTCTCATTTTCTTCTCCTTTCAACATTTCTCTCCCTTCTCATTTGATAACTACTTTGGTTTTTACCCTAATCTTTAAGGAAAGGTTTAGAATGAAGAATCAAGTGTTCAGTTAGAATGGCTGTCACAAATGCCCAGCGTTTGGTGGCTTTACATAATAGCGCAGCTACGCTTACTTGGGAAGAAATACGAAATACAAATGAGTAAAATTTCCTTTGTTTGCCTACACTAGTTATCCAGCATTTAACAACAAAAACATTGAGAGCAAAGGAGTTTCCGAACTTCTACACTAAGTCAGGACAGGTAATTCATACCGAATCATTGTATCTATGGGAAACTTGGAAACTATTTCTCTTTTACATCCAAAATCAACCTAGAGAAGGTATGGATGGGTTAGCTACCAAATTTTTTTTCTTTCTAAGACATTATGTTCTGAGAATTGAAGATAAATGATGTTTTTTTTAATGAAATACATACAAATGTTTGGCTTTCGTGCTGACCTAGAAAATGGGGTGGTATTAATTTTCAATTTTGTTCACTGTGACATACAAATGATATTCTTTGGATCAGAAACACATGGAATCCTGCTGCCTTCTTTTTCATTTCTTCCCGCTTTCCTGCCGCGCCACATTCCGTGATCAGGGAACAGAAAATATTATGGAAGGGCTTGGTCACAGCAGGCCAAGAGCTGGCCAGGTCTCCTGCAGGGAGGGCTTCAGAGCCCAGCTGGGAGGTTGAGGGCGGCCTACAGGAGCACCAATGGAGACCACCTCTGTCCCAGAACAGGATCAGGAAGAGGTGGACTTGGGGTCAAAATGTACATGTTGACGTTCTAAAAAATTACGAGTTGTACACATTGTCCGAAGGAACGTAAGTATTACGAAAAGAGGTACCAGCCGAGTGGGTGGCTCACGCCTCTAATCACAGTGACTCAGGAGGCTGAGGCAGAGGGATCACGTGAGCACAGGAGTTCGAGGCTGCAGTGAACTGTGATCACGACACTGAACTCCAGCCTAGGCGACAGAGTGAGACCCCATCTCTAAAAGATAAGAAAAGGAGGCGGGCGGGGAAGGGGGGAATTAGCCGGGCATGGTGGCGCGCACCTGTCGTCCCATCGACTGAGGAGACTGAGGCAGGAGGATTGCTGGAGGCCGGGGTTCAAGGTTACAGTGAGCTGCCACTGCACTGCAGCCTGGGCAATAGAGGGAGAAAAAGAGAAAGTGCCAGGCCACACCGTGTTCCCTTCGCCGGGTCGGCCCCTCCGCAGAGGCAGTGAGCACCTGCCAGCGCCGCGTGCTGGCGAAATCGCAGCTCGGCCCCTCCTCCTCCATCCCGGCACGTCCTTCCTACCCTCCCTCAGAGACTGGTCGCGTCCAAGCCCCATGATCTTCGCTTACAACTTCCCTACTTCTGCTTATGGCGTGCCTGCCCTTTCAGTCACCCTCGTTTGAAATCCAAGAATAACTTTTAACTCTTCCTCTTTTCACTTGCCACTGGCTGACTGATGAGCTGGCTCCTCCCTAGTGCGTCCAGGCCTCCCACGTCGGGTGGGATAATGTGGAACTGGGTGTCGTTCTGCGTTTTATTTGTATTTTCCTGATCACTGCTGAGGTTGAACATCTCGTGTGTTTATTGGCCTTTTGGGGTTTGGGGTTTTCTTCTATAAATCGCCTATTTACCTCCTTCATTTTACTTTTGGGTTTTTTGTCCTTGTAGGTGTGTTGGATGGATTTGGGATGTCAGTCCTTGGTTTCATTCCTTTTTCTACCACCCCATTCCTGTTTTTCCATTTATCCTTGGTCCTGAGAGATAGGTGGGAAGACAGGCTGCAGGAATGTGGGGAAAGAAATGAACAATTACTTTCTTAGTACTGGAAGTGGCATTGATGGTGGAGCAGGATAGTAGAAAGAACATAAATTTTGGAGTCAGACCTTTGCCTTATCCCTACTCTGCCACTCACTCGCCACCTGTGTGACTGGTCCCGTCACTTAGCCTCGCTGGCCCCGGGTTGCATGTGTGCAGCCTGCCCCTGTGTGGTGCTGAGGGGCTCAGGGGAGCACGCGTGCAGTTTCCAGCACGTGCATCTCACAGCCCTTCTGCTTCACCGGCCCTGAGTATGCCCACAGGAACCGCACACTGTTCCTCCAAAAGAAGAATATATTCTCTTTCTTTTGATTCGAGGGGTTCCTACTCCCATCATAGTGTTGGTTATTGAGAATTTCTTGCTCTGGATTCTTTCAAGTTCATTTACTCAGCAGACATTTACTGGGAACATTTTTAATTCCCAACATTGGACTGTCATCTTAAACATCTGACATGACGTGGTTGGTCTCTGTCACTGTGAAATCTACAATCTCGGAAATTTCGCGTAATGTCTACAGGAGCGCTAAACACTATTATGTGGCATTTGTCTTATTAAAACCATTAAATAGGTTCCATAAAGACCAATTTCCCATTGTCTCTGAATGCATTTCGTTCACACGTGGTGTTGCTAGTTCTTTTTCTTCCATCTTACTTCTCTTGGTCTCTATTTCATTTTAAAGTGGATTGACAAACAGAATTTTAGTCCATGAAAAAGCATTTGTTTGCCTCATCTAAATTTAACCCATGTGTTTTTTATTCAAGGTAGAATAGATTAATCTCGAGCATTACATAGGCCATAGCAAATACGCCCTTAATATACTCCATTCTGTTTAATAATAGGAACTTCTCTTTTATTTTTTCAAGATACAGAGTAACTTACAAAAGCTGCTTGAGAATGGTGACTGACCGACCAGCTCGCCTGGGCCGACCTGACACCTCTCGTTTCCCTTGGAGGAAGGTGCTCCCCGAGGCAGGCACTCTGCTTGAGCTCCCTGCCGGTCGGAGGCGCGAGCGCGTGAGAACCCAGACGTGTTTGCACTTGGAGGTCTCCAGCTCAGGAAAGGGGGGAAGGGAAATCATTTTGGTTCTTGTGCAATAAAAGTTGACCTTGACTCTGTGAGGAAGTTTTTGCTGCTGCTGCCTGAAGAAAACAGACCATCTCTGGAGGTCTCAGGAAGGGCCCAGTAGACCCTCCTCTTGGATGGTTGAGGTTCGGCCATTATCGTGATGGTGTCAGCAACACTCCACGCCTTTTTAGTCCTCACCAGCTTCCTTTTTTCTCCCTGATAGCCCTCTTAACCAACCTTCAAACTAAGGGATCTGTTATATTCTATACCAGCGAATTCAATGTGGTCCTTTAAAGAATTAGCCATGAATATCAAAAGGCAATAAATAAATGGCTCTAAATGAACAGGCTTGCTTCAAACTAATAACACCTACATTTTGTTAGTCTTTTTTTTTTCCTTCTGCTGTTTTGTTCTGGTTTAACTTGCCTGTGTATCTTAATTTCTCAATTCCGTTTTGGCAGGAATATCAGGCAAAGTGGATGGAACTATCCTGTTTACATTTTATTGCCGTAACTAGTAGTTAATTGGAGTGATCTTCACCCAGCAGAGGTCAGGCATCTGTGAGGCACGAGACTGAAGTACTAAATTGAACTTACTTTCAAACCAAAACTAACCTTTAAGCCAAAACTTGTAATAGTGATTTAATACAGGATGAAAAACACTGAATTTTTAAGACTGGAGGTGGATTGTGTTAGCCATTTTGAAACAGGATGTCTGTATTCAGCGTTCAACAACGCTGAAACCCATTTCAGCGTGACAGTGGTATGTTTTTCTCCTTTGCTAACTAAAATAAAGAACTCGTGGTTTGCTAACTTTATTTACCATATGGGTTGGCTGGTTTTTATTAATAATTATTTAGGGTACCATTAGATCTGTAAGTATAAAAGATTCTATCTGCAGTGTATTTTATAATCATTTCTATGAAATGTATTTTGGTTAATCGGATAAGCTAATAAGTGAATTGGTTACATCATTTGTATTTGCTAGCCCACTGGACAACTGTACCTGGCGCACCACTGGCTCTTAATAAATACTCATTGGTTAAAATGTCCTGCTAACATTGTGTCTTGCCAGTTTGTAAATTCTTTTAACTAAGACTTACTATCCTTTTTAACTCCTTCTCCACCTCTTCTCTACTACTACCAACTCACTTCATACTTCTTTCTTCCCAAGTTTTTATCTCAAAACTCAAAAATGATTTAAATTCTTGGGTTACAATGGTAGAGGGAAAAGACAATGAACTTTGAAATCAGAAAACCAATGCCTGATTCCTGGGTCCACATTTTATGAGTTGTGTGACCTTCAGCAAGACATTTGGCCATTTCCCCCCATTTTTTTGAAGGGGCTGAAAGTATCTTTATGAGGATCAAATGTGATGATATCTCTAAAGCACATAGCCTGTCAGACAATAGTATATTCTCATAACGGGTACTATATTCATTATTTTTAAAAATAATTTTATGTCATTCCTGTTTTATAAAAATTCAATGTCAACGCTTTATACTCAAAATCCATTAGAGATTCCACAGCGGGTCAGCCACCTCTGGAGAACAACTTTACAAGTGTATGAAGAGCCTTAAAAAAGTTAAAATTTAAGTAATTTGCCATCTAGGAATTTATCCTAAAGCAATAATTGGAGATAAAGTTTTATATACAAGAATATACTTTGAAGCCTCTATAAGCAAAATATTAGAGTCTAAATAATTCAATAGTAGAACAGTTAAATAATGTAGTTATTTAGAATTGTATTGTCAAAGAAAGGCATAGAAAATATAATCAAAATCTTATTAAAAAGGCAGCCACAAAACTATATGGTATGATCCCAATTTTAAGAAGAAAATCCTATGTGTGTGTATTTATATATATACACATACTTACATACACACAGAAGCACAAACACAGTGACCTTTTCTGTATTCTACAGAGGTTTTTTTTTAGCCTAGCTCACAGCAACCTCAAATTCCTGGGCTCAAGGGATCCTCCTGCCTCAGCCTCCCGAGTAGCTGGGACTACAGGCATGTGCCACCATGCCCGGTTAATTTTTTCTATATGTTTTTAGTTGTCCAGATAATTTCTTTCTATTTTTTTAGTAGAGACAGGGTCTCGCTCCTGCTCAGGCTGGTCTCGAACTCCAGAGTTCAAACAATCCGCCCGCCTCAGCCTCCCAGAGCGCTAGGATTACAGGCGTGAGCCACTGTGCCCAGCCTAGATTTTTAAATAATGACTAGTCATTGCCTTTTTTTTTTCATCAGATAAGTTAATTTAAAAGATGGGGTGGCTCTCAGCAGGGAACTAGATGTCACAACTTCCACCCAGCAGCATGGCTGCTAGTTCTGCACCTAGAAATTTACTTTCCAACAACCACTGCAGTTGACTCGCCCAAAGTGGAAAAAAGCTCCATCATTCTAGGTTTAGTTACCATTTTTTCTTGGGGCTACTGTTGTTCTGTTTTTCATTACTAGCTCCTAAGTCAAAAATCTAGTATAGGTGTGTCTGAATGGTGAAACCCAGGTCATATGCCTGCATACTAACTACAAGGCATGGGAAAGCAAGCATCTGGGATTTTTCAGCCTCTACCACCAAGATGTAAATTTAAGGAATTCTCCTAACATAGGAAGGGGTTTCGGATGCTGATTGGCCAAAATAGTGGCAAATGTCCACCATATACCTTGCCCTTAAAAACATGTGTATTACCCTTCTAGAATCAGAAAAAAAAAAAGGATTATCAGTTGTAACACTATTTTTGTTGTTTGAGACAGGGTCTCACTCTGCCTCCCAGGCTGGAGTACAGTGGTGTCATCATAGCTCAATGTAACATCAAACCTAAAACTCCTGGGCTCAAGCGATCCTCCCACTTCAGCCTCTCAAATAGCAAAAAGCTGGGACTATAGGCACACGCCACTATTCCCGGCTAATTTTTTTTTATCATTAGTTTTTTGTAGAGACAGGGTCTCGCTATGTTGCCCAGGCTGGTCTGGAACTCAACCAATCCTTACTACTCTATGTAGTGTCTCTTTTTCTCTGTCTACACACACGACAGCAGCCACCACACCAACAATTTTCATTACCACAGTTTGTGGTAATGAAAAGTGGGAGGGGAAGGTGGCCCTTGCTTCTCACAGACAAAGCCACAATCTCAGCAAGTCTTGATGAACTCTGCAGCCCATTCTTTTTAGGTCTCTAAGAATTCGGCTAGAAAGTCTCTGACTGTTCTGGAAATGACCTTGATTATAAAATGCCTTCTGGGCTGGGTGTGGTGGCTTACACCTGTAATCCCAGCACTTTGGGAGACCAAGGCCAGGAGTTCAAGACCAGCTTGGGCAACATAGCAAGACCCCATCATATAAAAACTTTTTTAGCCGGGCGCGGTGGCTCACGCCTGTAATCCTAGCTCTCTGGGAGGCCGAGGCGGGCGGATTGTTTGAGCTCAGGAGTTCGAAACCAGCCTGAGCAAGAGCGAGACCCCGTCTCTACTAAAAATACAAAGAAATTAATTGGACAACTAAAAAAATGTATAGAAAAAATTAGCCGGGCATGGTGGCACATGCCTGTAGTCCCAGCTACTTGGGAAGCTGAGGCAGAAGGATTGCTTGAGCCCAGGAGTTTGAGGTTGCTGTGAGCTAGGCTGACGCCACGGCACTCTAGCCTGGGCAACACAGTGAGACTCTGTCTCAAAAAAAAAAAAAAAAACTTTTTTAAAAATTAGCCAGGCATGGCAGTGCCTGTAATCTTACCTACTCAGGAAGCTGAGGCAAGAGGATCCCTTGAGCCCAGGAGTTTGAGGCTGCAGTGAGCCCTGCACTCCAGCCTGGGCTACATACAGAATAAGACTCTTTCTCTTAAAACACAAGTTTTAAAAAATATAGAAATCAATAAAAGCCTTTTGATACATGAACATGAGAGAACATGTCATACAGAGAAGCATGCATCCCTCTGTCCTGCCTCTCTAAGCAGATGCCACCTTCTGCCTCCAGAAAGCTACAATTATGCATTAAGGAGAATGTTGCTTGTTCGATTTTTGATTTTATTTTGATAAATAATAAACATATGCTGTATATATTTTTTTATTCCCCGCCCCATATGATAATAGAGTGATAGAATAGCCAATAATCTCCAGACCCAAGTAAATGTAAGCTCTTGCCTTCTTTCATTCTTGGGCTCTGGCCAGGCAGTGACTCTGTTATCCCTTTGCTCCTTCTACACTCAAGGACTATGACTGTGAGCTCTATTTCTTCTTGTCTGCACATACACGGGCACAGTAGGAAATAACAAAAATCTTCCCCAACACCTACAGCTAAGGATGTCTTGCCCCAAAGTGAAAGCGCCCTAGTGACAGTTCAGTCCAAGGCCATAGATGCAGGAGAGAAAGACTTTTGTTGGCTGCTAGAAGGAATATCTGTGCAGTTTTGTCTAACAAGCATCATCCTAACAGCTGACATCCCAATCTGACTTACGATTTTTAACACCTTTGTTGACATATAATTTGTGCACAGTAAATTATATGTTTAAAGTGTACAGTTCGATGAGTTTTAACATACATGTGTACTCGTGAAACCATCACCACAATTGAGGTAATAAAAATGTTCGTTACCCCTCCAAGAAATCCCTTTGCAATCCCCTCTCTCACGGCCCTCCCGATATTCCCCATTCAAAGCAACTGCTGATCTGCTGTCTCTGTAGGTTGGTTTTCATTTTCTAGAATTTTACATAAATGGAATCATGCAATATGTACTCTTTTTTGTCTGGATTCTTTGACTCAGCATAATTATTTTAAGATTTATCCATTTTTTGCATGTTTCAATAGTTCATTCCTTTATATTGCTCAATAGTATTTCACTGTATGTATATAGGAGGTCTATCTGGAAAGTATCCAGCCATGTAATAAGAAAAATAGAGTCATTTATTGAAGACGATACAAGAAACATTGTACATAGGACAATGACACCTCAGTCCCCTTCAAGGTAGGCACTTTGGGACCTCACACCGTTCTCCCAGCACCTCTTACTCTAACCCGTACACGTTCAGCATTCTCAGGTGTTCTGCTTGTTCCAGACCTTCCAGAATGTGGATCACTTTCAACAGATTGTTCTTTGAAGTGTTTGTTCCACACTTTTATTTGCGCTGCATTGATTGCTTCATTCCCAAAAGCCTTCTGAATTTTCTGAATAGTTTCCACAGAGGAATGTTCAAGCTTAATGGCAAAATTTGATGCAAATTCGTTGCTCTACTCGCTCATTTAGAATGCCACAGCCACACGGTACTACTCACCCAACGGCATCTGGCGCCCCACTGACTGGTGCCGCGGAGGCGTCACTGTTCACGCATGCGCGTTCCAGTCCACACGCCCTGGCTGCTGGGTTACCTCAACGTCTTGCTAACCATTCTCCTTATATTAACAGTGGCTGGATACTTTCTACACGTATCACACACAGCAAATTGTTTATCCGTTTGCCTGTGGGTGGGCATTTGGGTTGTTGCTAGTTTTTGTTAATTAAAAATAAAGCTGCTATGAATATTCTGGTACAAGTCTTTGACATGCACTTTCGTTTCTCTTGGGCAAGCATCTAGGAGTGGAATGGCTGGGTCATATAGTAGGTATATTTTTAACTTTTTAAGAAACTGCCAAACTGTTTTTCCGAAGTATATACCATTTTACATTCCCACCAGCAATGTAGGAGAGTACCATTTTCTCCATATCCTCACCAACACACGATGTGATCAGTCTTTTATTTTATTTTTTTTTTTTGAGACAGAGTCTCACTCTGTTGCCGGAGTAGAGTGCCGTGGCATCAGCCTAGCTCACAGCAACCTCAAACTCCTGGGCTCCAGCAATCCTTCTTCCTCAGCCTCCCGAGTAGCTGGGACTACAGACACGAGCCACCATGCCTGGCTAATTTTTTCTATATAGATTTTTAGTTGTCCAAATAATTTCTTTGTATTTTTAGTAGAGACGGGGTCTCGCTCTTGCTCAGGCTGGTCTCGAACTCCTGAGCTCAAACAATCCGCCCGCCTCGGCCTCCCAGAGAGCTAGGATTACAGGCGTGAGCCACCGCGCCCGGCCGTGATCAGTCTTTTAAATTTTAGTTGTTATAATATAGGTGTGTTGTGGTATCTCCTTGCAGTTTTAATTTGAATTTCCCTGGTGACTACTGATGTTGAGTATCTCTTTGCATGCTTATTTGCTATCTGTATATCTTCTTTGCTGAAGGGTCTATTCAAATCTTTAGCCCACTTTTTACTGGACTGTTTTCT